AAAATCACGTTCCAAGAATCCTCCAGGACAACTACAATGAGGTGGATTTGATTTATTCGAGTTATTTGAACATCAGTTCAGTTATGTATGGATAACACATGCTAAACTTAAAGAATAAAATAATTTATTCCTTCGTTTCGAAGCTTTTTAGAGGAACGGAATGGTTCGATTTCTTCATCGATAGGTTCACTGATCCATTAATTGGTCAATTTTTCAAAACATACAAGTGCAAGTTGAGCCGCTTAACCTGTGTTTGGTTGAATGAAGATTATGAGCCAGACGTATGCTAAATGGTATTGTCATTCAAATTGGATATCAAGTCACTTCAAAAGTCAATTCATGCACTAATACAACTTACGTTACATAAAATTTAGAAAATTTTACGGCCAATACTTGATTTGCCGTATAACAATATATACTGCATCTAACTACCACTACTATACGGTACCTATAATTTACAATTGAAGTTTTATAAAAAGAGAAAGCTTATCTAAGGACTCACAGTATCAAAATTGAGGTCTCAGAAAATACTTCTAGTTCTTAATTTAAATTACTGTACTAAATTGTCTGATTGGTGAGAAATTCTAAGTAGCTTTAACTTGAAGCATGTATAAAACAGTTGGATTTTACACATGAGGGAAGTCATTACGAAGTAGAAAATGGGTAAAGCAATAGAATAAAGCTCGAAATTGAATCGTCTACGTTATTATGAGAAACCTAACTAGAGCTTGAAATTCAATATCGTGTTCCTAAAAATGCATTTGTTTATTCAATTTTTTACAATGATACAAAAATATAAAAACTATCTTTAGGTCTAGATGTGCGAACGTGGTGAAATGGGCAGCGTTCCTGAAAAGGGATTCGCAACCTTTTTTTTCTCACCGTCTTCTGCTTCTATAAAATTTCATAGTTTCCTTTTTCGCAACGAATATCTTTTCAAGACATTCTCACTCGCGTTCATCACAGTGGCGTGGCGTGGACGATCGATCATCGATATATCTCCATTTGAAGCTATGGTGAAGAATCGATTATTAAGGTGTTGGCTGCGAACACCCTGTTTATCGATCCTTTTCTTAGGTTTGAATGACAGATCCATCGATATATCGCAAAGCACGCCACGCCACTGGTTCATCATTATCGACTCCGTTCCCTTTGAAATGAGTGACGTGGACCCAGAATAAAGATATATACGTTCGGGGTTTGAGTGCATGTCAGAGTGTACCTTTATTGGAGGGAATCCATTCTCGAAATTTAAAAATCTTGTTCATTAACACCTGTCATCTGTGGTCATAATTGAACTGAGTTAGGCAGAAAGGAGCCAGCCCACATTTTGGAAAAAATTGAGTTATGAGTGGTTTCGAACTCAACCACTGCTCTACTATCTGTCGCCAAAAATTCAAAGTTTTTGTCGGAGCAAATTTTGCAGAAATAGAACTTGAAGTTTATTTTTTACATCGAGTCTTATGCAGGAGCCAAACTTAAAACCTCTTTTTCTCGGTTCGATCTCAATGAGGCGTGGTTCCTTTCTGTTTAAGGTGATTCGATGGACGCCATATTTTGTGTCAGAATGGCATGCGATATATCGCATCAATTGGCTCCATTTTTTCAGCTACTCGTCATTTTTCTCCAATTTTGAGATCGCAATTCTGTTGTCAGGAGACTAAAGCACTCACTTACCAATTTTAACAAAGAAATTCAACGTAATAAAGGCGTGGTTTTTTCAGAGAAAAAACATCGCATTCGATACTGATATCGAAACTGCACTCGAATGCGATATTTTCTCTCTGAAAAAACCACGCCTTTATTATGTTGAATTTCTTTGTTAAAATTGGTAAGTGAGTGCTTTAGTCTCCTGACAACAGAATTGCGATCTCAAAATTGGAGAAAAATGACGAGTAGCTGAAAAAATGGA